CTAAACAAATGACACAAAACTGTAGATCCAATAATGACCTCATTCTTTTTGCCTATATTATGAATTACCCTTAAAAACAGTAATGATCACTCGGTTCATGCCTGTAAATCCCAGCAAGTGGAGGCGGAGGCAAGAGAATTGTTAGTGTGAGGTCAGCCTAGGCTACATAGCAAGGCCCTGTTTCCAAAAAAACCCAAAGCAGGGCTGGTGGAATGGCTCAAGGGAAGAGTGCCTACCTAGCAAGCACAAGGCATTGAGTTCAAACCCCAGTACCACAAAAAACCCAAAACAATAACACTTACTGTTTGAATACATACAAGTGCTTGGGACTAAATCTAGGAATTGGATCACAAAATAATTTTTTAAAAAACATGCAAAGCAGTATGCATTTTTTCAAAATGTCTTTAGGAGGAATATACAAAATATTAGAAATTACAGGTCTGTCAGCGGGAATGGATAGCTTCAGATGTGTGGGATTATTGGAAAAGAGGTCAGGGAACTAAGTTTTGGAAGGATTGCCTACTTAAATTTAGATATACTGATATTACAAAGAATCCAATAGGAAGAGTTGAAAAGGAGAAAGTGCAGAGCCAAAATCTTTAGGGAATGAGGAGTGATCCAGAGGTCTATAGATGGTGGCTGAAACATGAAGTATTATGTGGGATACTTGGTCCATGAGTTTCAAAAGAGGTGGAGAATTTTAGGGATGATAGTCTGGTAACCGAGATGAGAAACCGGGAGGCTCACTGTCAAGTGTTTGGGTTGAGAGTTTGAGAAAGAAGACAGCTCCCATTTGAGAGGGCAATGGCTAAAGTTGCCTTTAGGAGGTGCCAGGTTTCAGTGATGGGGATGGCTAAAGAAAGAGCTGATAATGCAGAGCTTTGGCTTATGATGGCCTTGAGTTTAGGAGGTTGGGACTTGAGGAAGGGTTAAAGAGTCATCTTAGGAAATGTAGAAAGGCTGAGTGATGACCTGGGGGTCCTGAGCTTCTGGTAGATCTGAGATAAACAGGAGTGTGGGATATCACACGATTAATCATGATAGTAGTCTAAGGTTGATTATCACAGTAAGGTCTGTCAAAGAAGGGTGGGGACAAGGGAGCCTTGATAAGAACATGGAGACCTCAGAACATCTAATCCCTCAGATAAAATGACAGTAGTGCTCAGGCCAACAAAGGTAATATCACTGTAAAGGGGGCACTACAGGTATCCCCTGACAGCCCTGCAGATACTATTAAGATAAAACAACAATAAAAGGCTCTCCCACCCTACATCCATATTCCACTCAAATGACTCACTTCTTGGCTTCCATTGTAAACTCCTTCAAAAAGTTGATTGTCTTGTCTCTTCTTCCTTGTCCCCAATACTAACTATTCAGAACTATTCCAGCTGGGATTTCATCCCCATCACTCCATCCATCCACATATTAAGTTCACCAGTGAAGCCTTTTGGCCAAAATGTTCAATTCTTTGTTCCCATGATTTGACTTAGCAGAATTTGCCAGTTAACCCTCCTTCTTGGAGACTTGCTTTTTTTTTTTTCCCCTAGGCTTCCATGGATTTCTTCTTTCCTTTGCTGCTTGCTCAGTTTACTTTATTGACTCATTGTCTCTACCAGAGCTCCACATAGCTCAGTACCACAAGTCCCAGTCTTGGGATTTCTTCTCTATCTTTACTCTCTCCAGATGATTTTATCCAATTCCAAAGATTCAAGTATCACCCAAATCCAGTGGATTCTTGAACTGTTTCTCCTTTTCTGATGGAAACTTAGCCATACGTATCTATCCAGCTTCCTGCTAGAGGTCACCACTTTGGATGTCTTATGTGGCATTGATTCAATCTGGTCTCGTTAGACATACTTTTCTCCTTTAACAATAAATTTCCCAAATTTTAACTGGCAGATACTGCAAAATGACGATTACTCCGTGCAACCTGCTTTGGGTAGGATCTAAAGTTCTAAGTTTGGGCTAAGAGGATGAAGATAATGAGGTAGGTCCTCTATGTCTCCCTCTCCACACCATTGTGGATGGAACACTGACCCCATAGATGTTATGTAAATTGTCTCTGATTGTGAATAGAAGAGCAACAGTGTAGAAACATTTGGAATTCTGAATACCTGAAGCACTCATTTCAGCCTTCGAACACTTATCTCTTTTGCTCTTAGGTGAAAGAGAATTTAAGTCTATCTGGTTTAACCCAGTGGTTGTCCCTCTTTCTCTCTAGATTATCACTGTGTAGTCAAGGTTGGCCTCAAACTCTCAATCCTACTGAAGCACGCTACCACTGAACAACTCAGACTTCCAGTGAACCACAACAAAAACAAAAACTTTTACTCTGTGGTGTTCATTTATTTAGCAATTAACTTACCTGTGTTATGTTACCTCTTAGCACAATTAAGAGTTGGCGCTATTATTTCAAGAAGTTAAACATAAAGGTAAGATGCACAAGGAGGAGGAGACTGAGGTTGAGTTACTAGAAAAGCTAAAAGCCCAAATGAGCCAGGTGCTGGTGGCTCACGTCTGTAATCCTACCTACTCAGGAGGCGGAGATCAGGAGGATGGTGGTTCGAAGCCAGCCCAGGCAAGTAGTTCTGGAGAACTTATCTTAAAAACCCTATCACAAAAAATTGGGCTGGTGGAGGTGGCTCAAGGTGAAGGCCCTGATGAATTCAAGCCCCAGTACTGAAAACAAAAAACCCGAATGAATTGTTCACCTTGAGAATTAGGCCTCGCCAATGGAAACTAGCTTATTTAGCATTTTCCCTTTATGCCTATTGCTACAATGAAAACAGAAGTTTGATAACTAGATGAAAAGTTATTGTGGGAATTATGAGTCACTGTGTCAAGGCATTTATGTTACAAAAATTATAGCATTAAGTGATAACCACCAGTTATCTTCCTTCAACCAAACACTCTGAATATCTTTAATGCTTTGACAGATGAACTCAGAAAAGTTAACAGAGAGTACAGGAGTTCAGTCCACTGCCAACGGACACCTGTCTGTATAACTCGAGTTCTTAAAATATTGTGACACGATGAAAAAATTCTTGGATATTCTAAAAGGAGAAAATTGTAAACACTTACCTGATCTTTAACAGAGATGCTATAGTTTTCAGTAGTACTTTATTTGCTCAAAATTTCCTTTAGCACTGAGCTATATTCATCAGCCCACTATTTTTTAATTTGGGTTTTTATTTTTAGGTGGTGTTCTCGTTATGCTCTCCAGGCTGTCCTCAAACACCTGGGCTAAAGTGATGCTCCTGCTTCTTTGTCCTTAGTAGCTGGGACCTTGTCTTAAAACCAAAACCAAAGATACTGTGTCTGGACATATTCCATGTCAGTGAAAAAGTAAGCTTTGACTTTTGTGTGTTGTCAGGTCAGTGACATGCCTAGCTCCTTTTAAGGGACATACGTCTGCTCAAATAAACACTAGTAGATATGATTCCCTCAAAGCAAAGATCTATTTGGTCTTGTATTCTAGGAAGGAAAAAAAAAAGATCCAAGAAAATGTAACTGCAATCTGATTTCCTAGAGATTCTTAGAATCTTTTTTTCTGAGTATTAGCCCCATACTCATATTGTATAAATGTTTTTCTTATTATTTAAAGTTCTCTTAGAAATGTCTTTAATGATAAGAAGTCTTATACAGACATTTTAACATAGAATGTTAACACATTACTTAGAAAAAGATGCTTTTTTTCCCACAAAAGCCAAAGAGAAAACAGAGTGTTACTAACATTACTATTTATTCATTAATAAAAAGTGCATAGTACAAGCCCTTTACCCCAATCCAAGTACTCAGTAAAAGATAACAATAAACCCTGGATGGCACAGACATGATTTGTTTGGCATGATTTAAACATTTAAAAACAGCAACTTACACTTAGTACATTACATGACCACTTTTGCTTTTAACAAAGTAATCATCAGACATAGTAAGAAGTACATAGGCTTTTTTCATTGAGAAATATAGTAAGACTAACTCTGCTATTGGAACAACAAAATTAAACCCATTCTCTCCATTCAAGTTGCTGTTTTGTGTCTTACACTGAACTGGACAAATTTGAGCACATACTCATTTAGAGTAACAGACTTTCATTTAGAGTGATAGATTTCCTAGGTTTCTTTGAAGTCATAAGAAACTGGTAATTCCATAACAGGATATCACAAAGACATTAAATGTAACCATAGAACAGCTTTGTTCAATAGTTACTCCAGAAAAACTGCAAGTTGTAAAATACGATTTGTTGACCATGGAGTAATGCTCAGATACATGAAAAAATCTTTTACTAATAAACAGTTACATTGTTAACCTTTTCTATGTAGAAAGCAAAACAAAAATAAACTACCATTGCTTTGCATAAAAGAACATTAAATGACTCTAAAACTCTTACTACCATTTGGAAAATGCTTAAGGCCCATAAGTGACAAAAATGTAAGCACTATGTTCCTTTTACGTAGTTTATTTTAAAAGGATTGAAGCCACAGTTCAAGTGAATGTTTACAAGCCAAGTAATGATTTAAGAATGTGCTCAATTAAAAGCTTTAAGAATTAAATAGAATAATATACATTACTAGTTAGGCTAATAGAAGACTTTATGTGCAATACACTGTCTTTTCAGGAATGCAGAGAAGTTTTACAAGCAAAACTCAGACTACTTCACAAAGAACGTCTGATTATTAACTTAATAGAAGTTTCTTATAGGAAGAGACTAATATATTTAGATGTAATGTTGATCAAGTATATGTGACAGAAATGAAATAGGTTGACGTGGTGGTATATACTTGTAATCCCAGCACTAGCGAGGCTGAGGCAGGAGGTTCACAAGTTCAAGACCAGTCTGGTCTACACAGTGAGACACTGTCAAAAAAAAAAACAAACAAAAAAACAGGGAGGCTGGAAGCGTGGCTCAAGTGGTAAGAGCACCAGCCTAGCAAGCAGGAGGCCAGGGAGCAAAGGAGGAAAAAAGGGAAGGAAGAAAGAAGGAAAGGGGTAAAGAAGGGAGGGAGGAAAAGAGAGGGAGGGGGAAATACAGGCATATGTCACCATGTCCAACTTCTTTAAATTTTTTACTAACTATAGAGCCAGGAAGGCTTCCAGTGGACCACAGCAATAGCAAAAACTTCTACTCTCTGGTATTAATTTATTTAGGATTTAACTTACCTGTTACCTCTTTATTAGCACAATTAAGAGTTAGCTCTATTATTTCAAGAAGCATAAAGCTAAGATGCACAAGGAGGAGTGCAAATAGTCAGTATTGGAATATATAATTAAATGGTGCCCTTAACAATGTTTATGGGCCTAGAATGTAACCATAACAAAGGGAAATCCCTGTGAGTGTCACAAAATTGATCAGACTATTAAACAGTATAGTGACAAAGGGTTTATTTAATTCACACAAATAATTTCTTTGATCTATACAGTGAAAAGCTAGACTGAGCTTGGGGGGGAAATCCTTACACTTACAGCAAAATAGCCCCCATAAGTCATCTGCATTCACTTGTTTGGAAAAAAAATTCTATAACCACATAGGTCATGGAGACATTTTAAATGCCATTTGTATTCCCCCCCCCTTTTTTTTTTTCAAACTCAGCAAAATAACACACTTTTCCTTTTTTATACATTTCAGTCTTCACTTACATCCATGTCCCTTCCCACCCAGTTCATCCCATTACCCAACAGAAGTGAGGTGAAGGGTAAGAAAAAGATTCTTGATTGTTTCTCATTCCCCCCATACACACACACACACACACACACACACACACACACTCTCACTCACTCACTTACTCTTTCTCTTGGAATAAACCAAAAACCTTCATTATATTTTTTAAGTCAGAAGGGTAACAAGAGTCAAAACTTTTCTCCAAATTAAAAAAGTTATTGTGAATAAGTAAATAGATATTCAAATGTCAATAAGCCAGCAGGCCCCAATATAGATGTAAAATAGTTTCTTTTTAAGAGGGAAGCATTACAATAGTAGAGAAGCTTCCTGAGAGGCACTCAACAAATAAATAATAGCTTAAGTTATTACTGGATGGATACCTGGCTAAGGCAAAAAGAATTAACTTCTTTCCTCCTTTCACGAATCTTATAAGGCTAGTATCCAGTGGCTTACAAATGTCATAATGGGCTGTAAATCAACCACCATATTGATTGATCATGTTTATTTAAAGTATTCTTAACAGACATTTTTAATAAAAGAAATTAGTAAACAATCATTGCATTTCTCTCCTATTCTAGCCACATAAACCAGCTTAATGAATGACACAGATTTCATATTAATGTGTAAAATATCCCAAGAGCTGTCACAGATCCAACTAGAGAAAACTGCCACCCACAAATAAACTACCAAGTAAATGTAAATACAGTGTGGTTCTAAACTGTCTTTCATACAATCCCAAATAACCCCAAAAAACTTTATAAATACCTTACAAAAAAAATTGTAAAACCTATCAGAACTCTTTAAAATACTTAAATGCAAAATCTTAAATTTCTTTAACCAGGCCAGAAATCACCACAAAACTTGTGTTCACAATTACAAACAGAATGAATGGAATGTTTAAGTTTAGAACAACCAAAAAAGCCCCATGTAACTTTTTTTTTTTTAATATAGTCGTTTACTCAAATATACTGTAAATAGGAATGGTGATAATACAGGAAGCAAAAGTAAGTTTGCAAGTGAAATTTCTAGAAGCTCATGAAAACAACACGATCCCAAATTGCAGATGCAAAAGGAAAAACAGTTCTCACGGGGGTTAAGAGTACTGTGGTCATCTTCGTTCATTTGGTTGTGCAAGGTGTTAACTGTTTTCCGCTTCCTATATCACAAAGTCAGTCCACAGGAGGAGCTGGTGGATCCTGTCCCTGGCATTAAAAAAAAAAAAAAAAACTGACAAACAATCTAACATAAGTAAGAATTGAGCAGCAATTCCACCCCCAAACTTATACTTATTTGGACTTTTCATAGGTTTTTACACAAAGGAACACTAGGTCAACATTGTAGTTTATCTCATTCATCTCTGTGGTATTTTTTTTGGTGATGGTCTGGGAATTTAAACTCAGGGTCTTGTACCTGCCAGGGGCACTCTTTCACCTGAGCCATTTTGCCCAGACCATTTTTTTGTAGATAGGGTCTCACTTTTTTTTTTTTTTTTTTGGTCCCTGGTTGGCCTCAAACTTTGATCCTCCTGATCTGTGCCTCCCAAGAAAGTCCCCAATAAGGACAGACTTCAATGAGGAAGCATATGGCTCCCCTTGCTTTTGGCAGCCATCCTACCACCAATCATAGGGGAAGACCACCTTGGAATGAAGGTGACACACATTGTTAAACTTCCTTTCTCTCTCTGACATAGGGTCTTGCTATGTAGCCTAGGCTGACCTGCCTGCCTCAGCCTTCTGTGTGCTAGGGTTCTCCACATTTCTTGATGTGTAAAACCAATAAAGTCACTTTTATCTATTTGTCTGTCTATCTATCTAACTATGGTCTGGGATTTGAACTCAGAAGTTTGCAAAGTAGGTGCTTTACCACTTGAGCTACACCTCCAGTCCATTTTGCTCTGATTATTTTGGGGATGGAGATCTAAGAACTAATTGCTGGGGCTGGCCTAGAACAGTGATCCTCTCAATCTCAGGCTCCCAAATAACTAAGATTACAGGTCTGAGCCACCAGGGCCCAGGGTGATACCTTTCTTGCTAGGCAGGTGCTCTATCACTTGAGCCACACCCCAACCCCTGATACCTTCTTTCTTAATGGGAGGTAGCATACTACAGATCTGTAAGTTCTCCTAAAAATTAATCCTGCAACACTGAGCAGTTAACATTGCATGTTTGTTTTGTTATTTCCTTATGGAAGAAACTAGTGTTCACCAAACTTCTAATATTAACAATACCAGGCTGGGGGAAAGAAACAATAGTTTTAGGAATTTTACTTGTTGAAGGCTGAAGAAGAGAATTAATTTCATGGAGTAACTTGGTGTTCAACAAATGAACACGAAAGTTCACTTTGATACTGTGTCACCTTACAGATATTTTTATTTGGTAAAAATTATATATACTTATGTATACACTGTAGAATGGCTAAAATTAGCTAATTAACAAATTTATGAAAATATTTTAAAAGAGATAACATTCAAATCATATGGAAAAGAAATAATATACAAATACTGGCTCTGAAAAGGACTGTCAGGAATCCTTTAGTGAAGATTGTATAAAAGACAGTAGCGGAACTACCCTGTTGGGTCACTTCATTAGTTTTCATTTAGCAGGTTCTAAAAACTGTTGCAACACGCCTTGAGTTCAGTCCCTAACACCTAACACTTAGGGAAAGGTGAGGACTTCCCCTTCCACCGCCCAGCACTGGGTTTGAACTCAGGGCCCCATGTTTGCCAGGTAGGCACTCTTTTTTTTCTTTTTTTAATTATTCATTTATTCACATGTACATACATTGTTTGGGTCATTTCTAACCCCCTGCCCCCTGGTAGGCACTCTTAAGGTCAAGACTCTTAACACTGTGTAACTAGGGCTGGTGGAATGGCTCAAACCATTCCACCAGTAAGAGCACCTGCCTACCAAGCGTGAGGTCCTGAGTTCAAACCCCAATGCCACCAAAAAACAAACAGAAGATTGTTTAGCTTGGGGGGAGACAGTGGAGGCAATCTAGCCAATGTACAATATAAGGCTATTGAGAATTGAATCCCCCAAGTATACCCTAGTAAAATGAAAAACAAAATAAGTAAAACCATTTTAGCTCAGGGAAAACAAACTATATAGCTTAATTTAGAGCTCACTTCCTCAGAGTCAGGGGTCCTTTTCAATTGCAAATCCTTTGTAAGCTAGAAAGAGTGGAAATTTCCTCCTTCTTAGGATACCTGAAAATCAACGTAAGTGTATACACAGTCCACCCAGATACCCTTCCCCTCCTGCACACAGCTCCTCCATTCCATCTGACAGAGAACAACACTTCTAATCCTCTTCCTCTCTTTTACCTATTATAAACTCTGATATTTCCTTTACTACATTTGCATGCTCTGCTTGAAATCATCAATGCCAGAACACAAGAACTGGAACTCTTCTGATCACAAAAGCTTTACAAACATGAATAATTTCCACATCTCCTTTTGCCAGCTCAGCTGATTTACTGTGATGCAAATGAAAAATGTGTTTGAGAGAAATAGAGTGGGTAAACAGGATTTAGCCAGATAAGCTCAGAATACTGTACTTAGTAGTTAGGTCAAAAGAGTTGGTGAGACATTTGAACGAAAACTAGTAAGAGTGTTTCAGAGGCTGGGCACCGGTGGCTCACACCGGTGAGTATAATAGATAGTTCATGAGACCCTATCTCAAAAATACCCTTCACAAGAAGGGCTGGTGTAGTGGCTCAAGGTGTAGGCCCTGAGTTCAAACCCCAGTACAGCCAAAAAAAAAAAAGGAAATGTGTTTCAGAGGGCTGAAGCATGAGAGCCAAGGGATTAACACTGTGAAGTGGAGAGCAATGCACAGTGACAAGATTTGAAGCAGTACTGCTGTGCATTATCAGCTGATCATTTTGATGGTTCTCCTGGGAGTAACTAGAATATATTTTACAATCATTTTTGGATTATTGGTCTGTGCTATTTTCTGTTTAACTCCACAAAGGATCATTTGTAGATGCAAGAATTACTAGGACTACACAGGAGGAATTCATTCCATGAGTTAAGTCTTCCTTTTGCTAATTTAGATATTTCAGTCAGAATAATGTCTTTTCTCTCCCCAGTCCACATACATACACTCACTCCAAAAGGCTTTCTTATTCACAGTACTTACATTATGTGGACTGGCTGGCTTTCCAGGTAGGTTGGATCCTCTTAGATTAGAAGGTCTCAGTAAGAACAGGATCACTGCAATAACCATCCAGGCCATCAAGATCATAGTAATACTGATGCCATTGTCACCAGAAGGTCCTGGTACTAAAGACAAAAAATGTACTTGTTGTAAAATTGTAGCCTGATTACAATATTGTTAGATAAATATAAAAAAATAAATTCTAATGGTTAAGTGCCAGCTTCAAAAATTATATTAGTAAACTGGGCACCAGTGGTTCAAGTTGTAATCCTAGCTACTTGGCAGGTAAGACTGGGAGGATTGCAGTTCAAGGTGAGCTGGCTCAAAAAGATTGTAGCCTCCATCTCCAAAATAACCAGAGTAAAATGGACTGAAGGTGTGGCTCAAGCGGTAGATTCTTCTTTGCGAGCCTGAATTCAAACCCCAGTCCCACCAAAAAAAAAAAAAAAAAGATTATATTAGTATAAAAAAAGAATAATAATTTAGAGAAGAACAACTATGGAGTAATACATCTTCAATTTCCTTTTCTTCAGTGAGAGAAATCTATATGGCAAATTATGTTAAATAGTCATTAAACCAAACTATAGTACATGAAGCTTTTGAAAATATGGTAATATGAAAATGTGGTAACAGAATCCTCTGAGAATGTGATAAAAATAAAGGATACTCTCTGTTGTAAGACATCATGTACTAAACACATTCAACAAATTTGCATATAACCTTAGAAGTTTCATGGAACCATAAAGCCACCAATCCATAGATTTGCTGGGATCCACAGAGCCCAGGTTAAGACAACATAACACACAGAAAACATTTTCCTCTAGGGAAGAAAAATCTGCATCTTAATTACAGAAATAGCAGGAAAAGGGAACATCTAGATTGCAACCCATATAAATTAAAGGATCTCTTTAATGAAACTCTCAAGGAGAATAATTTGGCCTTTTTTTTTTTTTTCAGAAAAGCAAGTTTGAATTCAGATCTAGGTGTTGGTTTGTTTGTTTAGAAACAGGTCTCATTGTATAGTCCATGCTGGATTCAAACTTACTATGTAACCCAAGCTGGCAGAGAAGCAATGATACTCCTGCCTCAGCCTGCCAAATCCTGTAATTATAGTATGTACCACCATGCCCAGCCAGATATTTTTAAAGTCTATGTATTAAGAGAAAAAAAGCCTCTGTGTGTGTGTGCTTGTGCGTGTGCGTGTGTGTGTAGGTGTCAGTATTTCTCAGCTTATATAAAGTGCCTAGCACAGTGCCTAGTTCTGGTATGAAATTAACAAATTTCTTTGTTTAAAAAAAAAAAAAAAGTCTGGCTATATAACCTAGACTAACCATAAACTCACTATGTAGTCCATGCTAGCCTTGAACTTTTTTTTTTTTTTTTTTTTTGCAGTACTGGGGTTTGAACTCAGGTCCTACACCTTGAGCCACTCCACCAGTCCTTTTTTATGATGGGTTTTTTCAAGATAGGGTCTCGAGAACTATTTGCCCAGGTTGGCTTTGAACTGTGATCCTTCTGATCTCTGACTGCTGGGATTATAGGTGTGAACCACTGGTACCCAGCTATCCTTGAACTTTTGATCCTGCCCCAGTCTCCTCAGTGCTGAGATTATAGGCCTGTACCACCATGCCTAGTTTAAACTCAATAAATTTCTAGTAAATGAAATGCAGATTTTTAAAACTGAAGTCTATTAGAACTAAATTTTCAAAAATTAATTAAAGAAGATTAGATTTCTAGAGAAAAACAAAGTATCTCTAGGTGTTTACTAAAATAGCCTATCAAAACTTCAACTGGGAATTGGAGGTACAGTTCAAGCAGCAGAGTGCCTGCTTTGCAAGTACAAAGCCCTGAGTTCAAACCCTAGTCTTACCCCCCCACCAAAAAAGACAAAAAAAAATCTGTACATTTAAAAATAGAATATTCTTTGTAAGTAAAAGATTCTGAAGTTTGAGAGTTAAACCTCAGATTATACATTTACTAATTCCTATTTCTCGAGAAATCGTCCCTAAAAAACTTTTTACGACTCTCAAAGTAATAAAAATGACTATTGTATTGTGGCTCCTAGATTGGCTTGCTTGTTTGCTTGCTTGCTTGCTTGGTTGATTTATTTATTTATTTATTTATTTATTTATGGTACTGGGGCTTGAACTCAGGGTCTCAAGCTTGCTAGACAGATGTTCTACCACTTGAGCCACTCCACCAACCTTTTTTTGTATTGGGTATTTTCAAGATACAGTCTCGAAAACTATTCTCCTGGGCTGGCTTTGAACAGTGATCCCTCTTGATCTCTGCATCCTGATAGCTAGGATTACAGGCATGAGAGACCTGCCTAAAGTAGTGGTGGCCAAAGACTTTCCTTCCTGCATATTGCTGCCAGAGAGTCTGCTTGAAACACTGTTTCCAGCTGAATGCTAGTGGCTCACACAAGTAAAGCCCAGGCAAATAATTCATGAGATCCTATTTCCAAAATAACCAGGGCAAAAAATGGGCTGGAGGTATGGCTCAAGCAGTAGAGCTCTGAGTTCATACCCCAGTTCAATCAATCCATCAATCAATAAATAAAATAAATAACAGGTTCTATGTGAGGTCTGGTGTTATACTCCTGTAATCCCCACATTTGGGAAACTGAGACAGGAAGATCACAACTGAGTCCAGCCTGGGCTACATACCAAGACCTTGTCTCAAAAAAAAAATCAATCCAACAAAAAAAATCCCAACTACTACTACTACTACAAGAAAAACCACTGTTTCTAACACACACTTCTGCTGAGACACAACTACCTACTGCTTCAATTCTGAAAGCACTGCCTGGACTTTACCCTGGCCTTTGCTCATCTAATCTTATCTCTCACCATTTCACAGAAAATATATCATCTCAAAAGCCAGTGTGGGAGAGCACACTTGTAATCCCAGTACTCAAGAGGCTGAGGCTGAGGCTGAGGCTGCGGCTAGAGCTTAAGGCCAGCCAGGCTACACAGTGAGATCCTATCAAAAAAAAAAAAGAAAAAAAAGGGAAGGAAGGAAAGAAAAAGAAGAAAGCAAAGCACATCATCTGTTCTAGTTACTCATCTTTGGCCAATGGTGGTTCCTTGGCCTGGCTGTGCATCGTAATGGCCTGTAACCAACACAACTCAGGACCACCTTGGGGATGCAGTCAAGAAACAACAGTATTTTTAAGAGCCTTCCAAATGAATGGGATATATAATAGTTCAATGCTAATGGCTAGCAGCACTAGCCCACTCTGCAAATTCAGTCCTTTAGGGGTACCATTATTTCCATTATTTCATCCACATTCCTTTCTCCTTTACCATTTTCCCTCAGCATTCTCTAGAATACTAGAGGCATTTCTAATGTAAAGGAATGGTATCCTAACTTTCCTAATTAGGTTATAATAGACCCCCAGCCCCTACTCTCCTTCCCCCAGGCCGGGACCAGGGCCTTGCACATGCTAGGCAAGCATACCACCTCTGAGTTCACCCCCATCCCAAGATCATTTATTTTATTCTCTAATAGCTCACAATTCAGCTGAGAATAGAGGGTAACAGCTAACAGCTGAATTAATTAAAGTAGAACACTTTGGTCATAGCTAATGCTTTTCTGTTTGTTGCAGTCCTATGAAATGCTATTAACCTTGGTTCTAAAATGGGCATAGTGTGCAAGGTTATTTTAAAAAAACTGGAAGCAAACGTAAGTGTCTGCCAAGAATGCCTTATTAATAAATGAACACAGACCTGTACAATTCTTTTTGATGTTGGGGAGTGAACCCAGGGCCTTACACATCCTATGCTTACATTCTAGCACTGAGCTGCACTCCCAGTCAAGATTTCCCTTTTTTTTTTTTTTTCTTTTGAGACAGAAAAGATGAAGAACAGTGTATAAAAGGAAGTGGGGGTAAATTATATATATTTATTTTGGCTTTTATATGAACAAAGAAACTCTGGAAAGGTACACAAAAGGCTAACAATACCTAGAGAAAGGACCTGGGTTAATGGCAGAATGTGAGCAGGAAGGGACTTTCTAGTGTATGTCCGTTGAGCTCTTTTTTTTTTATTGTGGTACTGGGGTTTGAACTCAGGGCTTCATGCTTGCTAGGCAGGCGCTCTACCACCTGAGCTCAGTCCCCGTTGAGCTCGTGATCTTGGGGAGGGGCGGTGCTAGGGATGGAGCCCAGGGCGCCGGGCATGGTGGCCAAGCGCTCTACCCCTGAGCCACATCCCTAGCCCTAAGTACTTCATTTTTAACCATGTGTAAAAAAATTAAGTAAACTGAGTTAAACCACAAACAAGATACCTACAATACATCAGGATTGAAAACACTGCACAATGAACTGGTTTAGACTCCTTCAACATTTCGAACCAGGGAATGAATGGGTTCCTGGAGGGTTTTTTATGATTACCTGCAGTCTCACTTTATAAGGTTTCAGAACAGGAAAACTCACGTTAGAGTTAGCCTGGCCTGGGAAAATATGTCACTCAAACTCCCTGACACTACTTGAGCAAATAAAGACATACATCAGGGGTAGGGGCAGCTGCATGAGAGCCAGCAGAGAGAGGTGAGAGGGCCTTCAAGTGATCTGTCACCTATGTTTTCTATGGTCTTCACCTTTAGGCATTTATAAAGTCACATATGTTAGCTAACACCTGTAATTCCAGCACTTGGGAAGCTGAGGCCGGAGATCCAGAGATAAAAGTCTAGTCTGAGCTATATATATATATTTTTTCTGTCTCAAAAAGAAAAAAATAAAATAAAACAAAAGCCAAACAATTAAGGAATACAATCAACAGATTTAAAGTCTGTTTCCTCACCAAGAGCTCCCTGTAAGTTATGTGACATGTACTTTTTATGGTCTGGCATTTCCTATTTTGCTTATACATTAATCTGTGTTTACAAGCAAATATGAAAGATACTACAAATAAGATGACAAATAGAATGAATATTCACAATGAAGCTATTAGCTGGACACCAGGAAGAAGAAAAAGCAGGGAAGAGGCAGGTCCTGAGGGTTCCTACTAAAAATTTATGTAGGTATCTGGTGTGAAAGTGGAAACAGAAGAGGGGTGAAGTGGAACATACACCAGTAAGCGCTAACTCTGCCATTTCTGGTTGTACAGTCACATTATCTTCA